GGATTTAAAAATAGTTACGCAAAATGGAGCGTGCCCGTTCAGACCGGCTTTAAAGGGTTAAAGGAACTTTGTGTTTTTCTTTATTATTAATCTGTACTCCAGTGTCATCATCACACTAGAAAGCAAGTTCAGCACAGTTAGGCTTTCTTTTCATTAGCTTAAACCTAAATCCTAAAACCCCAGTGAGAGATAATAGAGTCACAGTAGAAATCGCCGACCTTCCTTGTCTGGTCCGGGCTCTACGCTTCAGATTCTGTGCATGCTCACATAAATGGTGGCTTTGACATGTCATTTGGCTTCCTTAGTGCAAAATGACGTCTCCAGGGTGACAACTTTAGTCGGAGCCATTGTCAGACAAACAGGTGAAAAAGCCATATGAAGAACACGCTGTAAATATATAACGATTAAAGCCAACACAGGTGCTGCCAACAGGGTAAGAGAGCAGTGGTGGTAGAAAACCATTAATCATGTGAATTCCATTCATCCACACTTTTTCCACACCACTGACCTCCACCATCCCCACCACCTCCACCAACTCTTCTGGGTAGACACCAAGGCATTCGTAGCATGTCCCAGGTCTGCCCCAGAAACTCATCCTGAGCCGTTTGTGGATGTGAAGGAGCAGCAGCTCATTTCTGAGCCCCTCCTGAATATCCTCAGCTCTCCACTCGCTTACAACGAGTAGTCTCCAGATTCACCAGTTCACACATTCACCAGTTCATTCCCAAAGATATTTCTCCAGCTCTTGTGAATTTATATTAGTATATTTCTAACAAAACAGCTGGACCTTAAAGCGACTGAACTTTCAACTTTATACATTTGATCATTACAGGTTATTCAGTGTTTCCTCACTATATGATATGATAACATTATAAAGCATAAATCGTATTTATATATTTGAATCTGAAAGACTGCAAATTCCTCTGACTATGAAATAAAAGTACACACAGACTGTGCTGCTGTAGCTTCACTGTACAGCTTCACTCAGCTGTATTTTACACAGGCAACAAGCTGTGCAAATACAAATCCCTTCACACGTAGAACATGTCCTCCTGACA